AGCAAATACCTGGAGTTTTTTTCGTTGAGAAAAGTAATTTCTGTGTTTTATTTCTGTTTATTTTCAAATTATTTGCTGAGAACCATCCTTCAGCCCTGTTTTCTAATTCTGCTATTGAGGTTGACAACTTTGTTATTGTGTTTTCTGAGGTTATGAATGATGTATCGTCTGCAAACAAAGTGCATTTGCTGTGATTCAAGTACTTACAGATATCATTCACATAAATGACGAATAATAGAGGCCCAAGTACTGAGCCTTGAGGTACCCCATAATTAATCATTTTGTAGTTAGACTTGACATGATTCAAACTGACACATTGTTGACGGTTTCTCAGATAGGACTCTATGAGAGAGTGGGCGATCCCCCTAATTCCATAGAAATTTAACTTTTCTAAGAGGATATCATGGGAGACACAATCGAAGGCCTTGGTTAGGTCACATAAAGTGAGTGCAGTGATTTTTTCCTGCTCAAGTCCTTCGATTATGTTCCCAATAGTATCTTGTAGAGCGTGTATTGTTGAGCGACCCGCTCTGAAACCAAACTGGCTGTCACTCAAGAAATTATTATCCTCAAAATATACAGTGATTCTTCTCTTTAGTATTATTTCAATTATTTTGCCAAAAATACAAATTATGGAGATGGGTCGATAGTTATCTAAACTAGAAGATTGACCCTTTTTGAAAACAGGTATAACCCTGGAGTATTTAAACACATCAGGAAAAACGCCTGTTGAAAATATCAGATTTATCAGAGTAGAGAACGGTTTCACCAATATATCAGAGGTTTCTTTTATTATACGACTGCTAAGTTCAAAACAGTCAACAGCATTTGAGTTTTTCAATGCTTCTATGGCTTGTCTGACATCGTAAACTGTCACAGGCGGTAAAAAGAATTAGCTACAGGGATCTGGAAAATAGTTTGAGTTGAGAAAATCTTGGTTTTGCAAGTTGGGTAATGATTTTATGACCGTTTCAGCTATAGTGACGAAATAATCATTGAATTCATCTACTGTTATATTATTAGTGGGTGGCGTTTTTTTGATCTTGTTTGTTTCATAATTTATGATTTGCCAACTGGCTTTTGATTTATTTTCAGATTGGGTAATATAACTTCCATATGATGCTTTTTTTGTTAGTTTTAACTGTTTATTGTAGTCTTTTTTTAACGCCTTGTACGCAGACTCTGCATCAGGATCATTACTCACATTACTTATGTGTTTGATTATGGAGAGTGTTTCTCGAGCTGATTTCAAGTTTTCATTATACCATCTTATCGGTGGTTTCTTGTGAGTTTCACTAAACCGTTTCAGTGGAAAATATTTTTGGATTAGATTGTTGTATGTTGTTGTCAAATGGGATGCCAGATATTCTACACAGGTTAAATCATCGTAAATGGTCCAATTTATATCCTGTAATGCCTTCCTGAATTTTTTTATGCCGCTATTTGTGAATGGCCTGTATTCATGAGATCCCACATAAGCAGGTTCATGGCTTCCATATATAATGTACTGTCCCAGATGGTCAGCAATACATGGATCCAGGACACCTGTCATGATGGAGTCAGTGTTTATGTCAGTCAGTATATTGTCAATACAGCTTGCTGCGTTTGCACTTATCCTAGTAAAATCAGAGATAGTTGCTACAAGTCCAAAACATTGCATTAAATTTGTCAAACTACTGAGAATACTAGAGTTAACTTTGAAATTTATATTGAAATCACCCAAAACGATCATATGCATAAAAGGTTTTGTGTGTTTCGTAAGTATAGTCGCTCCAAGTTACACAAAAATGTATCAGCATTTCCACAACATGATCTGTACGTGGTGATGACAAAGTATTTATGCGAGCTAATTTAATGCCACAAAATTCTGAATGGATTTCCTCATTGAATTCTTCTAAGTTCAAGATTTCATATTTTACTGTTCTTTTAGTAAACATTGCAACACCGCCATGTAGGTTACTACTTCTACAAAAACTACTGATCAATTGATATCCAGGAATCTGAATATTTTGTAAGTCTGAAATTTTGAGCCAGTGTTCGGATATGCATAGGACATTGAAATTAAATTTTTCTACAAATAGTTCTATGACTTCAAGCTTGTTAGATATACATTGAACATTAATATGGAAAATACTCACTAGAGAATTTGAAATGTTTTCAAGCAAATGATTTGTATCACCATATTCGTCTATAAATGTCATTGTTCCTCGAAATAGAAACATTTTTATACAGAAAATGTTCACATGTTCCAGGCATAAGTAAAAAGCGCATTGACCACAAGAGTGTTTGGTTTCTCGGTCTCGACTTCCCGAGCAGACACAAACACTGTCCAGTTGCTTTAGGACGTTTGACCATTTGGTATTTCAGATTTTCCAGCCATTTCCGAAATTTTTACATGTAACTCCCTTGGCAAATGTTGATTGTTATTACTGTGAATCAGTTGCTTGGTAATCCATCGCTATTTAAAAAAATCGTTGTTCTTTTTCATAGGCATTTACGATTCTGATGTGGACCAACACTGATTAGCTACTCATTAAGATATAATGCAGATTTCACATATTTATTGAGAAATCAATTGTAACAAGTGGTAATAAGGTGGGGTGTAATACACCCCAGAGCACTTTACGCACCCGTCACTCGCACCCGAACTGGAAAAATACTGAAATAACGACGGCAGACGATAGATAAAGAACTGAAATTAAGCTATTAGGATGCACATGCAAATATCTTATCAGCTCGCGAAATTGTAGCTTCACAAACTTAATGATACAACCAAACTGGATATTTCTAGAAAATTCACTTTTGCCACAGCCAGCTCTAAGATGGCTATGCTTTTGCTGATATTATGCTGAGGGTTCTGATGTTCTGGCATGATGATCATTATATCTTTCAGAGCATTTTTTCACGTCTGCTTGTATATTTTATTGTTGTTACCCTCATTGTCATATATTAATTGTTCTGTGGCCTGGTTTGCGTTAGTTTGAATGGCTCCCTTCCTTTGGACTTATTTATTCATGATGGAAACAGCAAGAAACTACGAGGGGGGTTCAACAAACAACAAACTGCATATTTCTGGAAAATTCATGCTGATTGCTGATGTTAACTGTTTGCTGATGTTAACTGTTTGCTGACACGTCAATGAGTCTTTCAAACAGATCAGAATAAAAATTATGTCACTTGCAAATTAAAATCACAGCAAGTTATGTTAGGAAATCATGAGACAAATTGACAGTTATTCGTAATGTGCAACCACGTGAATGCTCTACCCAATACAGTTTTTCATGTACCAAAGACGAAAAACTGTCGAGCCTGCAAATTGATAGCCGAGGACTAGGCGAGACAGTTTTTCGCCGAGGGATTCACGTTATTCCTAGATAACTAAGGATATGTGCTGCAAAAGCCGCTAACCTATTTTGCATTATTTGAGTCTGATTATTCCTTTATTGCTCTGAGTTCTGATCTAACTCTGTTTCTGCTTTCCAAACGAGAGCTATGCTATCAATGTTCAGGACCAATTTTGAAAAATAACTATGGACTATTAGATCTCCTCATATTGAAATCATAATGTCAAAGTTATAAAAATCGCGATAAATTCTGGGATATTGGAACAGTGCACGAGGAACACGTGAGAAACTAGATAGCAGTAGTTCGAGATTGGTTACTAAAAATTTTCTTATCGAGAAGTACACACTAGATAGAGAGTTATTTATACATCATGGTATATGTATATATGTAGTGAAGAATATCATAATTACCAAGGAACTAAAATTATTTCCCGTGGCTCCAACCGAGGGATAAGTATGTGAAGTCCCGTGATAGTCTTCACTAGTGAGGTGTATATTATATTTTTTACCTACTACCAATATGTAATGTGAAACATTACGACCCTAATTTTGGTTTCGTAATGAGATACTTTACCGCACTAGTAAGAAAAAATACTTTCAAGTTTACTCAAATAAAAAAGAAATAAGACCCAATTGATCATACATATACCGGGTACTCAAGTTCAAATTGCTTCATTCGTCGCAATTTCTATATCTGAATCACGTTGTCATTTTTTTATCTCAAATTGAAATGAACGCGTCAAAGTTGACAGTTCGCAGAATGAGTGACAACCGAAAACAATAGATTCACAAGTATATACCCACCCCTTTTTTATGTTCTGGTTCCCTCGCTTGTTACATATTCCTAATGAATCGTTAATTCAAGGAATATCAACTATTTTCGATCGAATAATTAGCGTTTTTGGTAGTATAGGTAAAATGTTGTACGATATTCTTATCGTAAATATCTATTTCATCATCGCAATGTCTTTTGTTGATTGTTGAAAACCTAATCGTCTTAAAACCGCAAGCATGACTGTAGAAATTTGGATAAAACAATAATTCATAATCATTTAATTTCAGTTTTTGAACAATCACTCGAAAATATCTGAAATTTTATATATTCCATAATATATTATTTTTGAATCCAGAATCTCATTTTCTCAACGCTGTTACAGCTACTCTTCGTCGAATATCTACTGGTCAATCAGGTTTCTGGAATGTTCCTTACAGTTCCCAACGAACTTTCACAGCCAGGTTTGATGGCAGCCAACCTCATCAGGCAATGTTCTCAGCTACTAAGCTGTTTGTGGTATTCTGATTAGTTTAGAAATAGGTTCGAAACTTTTTCTCTATTTGCCCTAAATAATCATCGTATTATATTTCTTCCTTCCTCCTCCACACATGTCAGCTGATGTTGGGATGGCATTTTATGATCTCAATAAATAGTCAATAGTTGTTATTTAAATTGATTACCATATATCAGTCATTATGTCCATATATAGGTTCGAATACCTTGTAGGTCACGGGATCAAATATGGTTACAGGCAATACAGGAAAGTTGGATTATTAAACTCACCTTGTCATTCAATTCCTGTTTCTGATCAATTCATATATTTGCATCTCGCGTTATATTGTCTATAGCTATTAGCCAATGAATATATTCTCCAAGATTAGAGATATTATGATATTAAAAATATATTTATAAAACATAACAAACTAATAATCACAATGTTATCATAAATCAGGATCTTCTCCAGAAAGAGTCCAGGAATATTCCAATTCAAGTTCTGCAACCTGAGCCAATATGTTCATCTTCATCAGGTCGATAGACTGTTGTGGCAGTCTTTTCAACCTGGTGCCGATGTTGTTCAAAAACGTGTCTATATCTACGGCACTGTCTTCATTGTCTTCTACAATCGATCCCGGCAATGATATCGGTAACGGATCAGTGCATGGTGTCATTTCATGGTAGGTTTTAGGTTCCTTGGATTCGGTATCTTCCGATTCAGAAAACACATCGTCCTCTTCATCATCGTCGCCTTTTCTTATATCTTCTTCTCCTGTACATCTAGAAAATAGTAATCTAAGAAATGAATGTCTATTCCTATCCATCGCGATTCTTATATCAATAGGTATTTCGAAATTCGAAATCAAGTATTTCATAATATGTATGTATATTTTACTATACGATGGTTCAGAATCAAAATTATCTTCCGATATCCCTTTTTACGTTAGCACACCCAAAAACTAAAGTACTATTCTATGTGAACTCATTTTCAAACATGAATATTGAGAGATATACATCCCTCTAAAGGAGGATACAAAATATCAGTATATATCTATACAGGGTGATTAAAAATTCGATGTAGATATTTTAATTCCGTATTGTTGTGATCAAAATAAAACTTTTACTTCATAAACATGTGTCCTAAAATCTACCTCCTTCCTTCCTACAGCCACTGCATGTAAGTTGGCTAAATTAAAAGAGAATATCTGAAGTTATGATCATAGTAACGGATCAAGTGCAAGTATTCCAGTACGCCTCTGAAATAGCAGTCTCAAACGCGTTCCGACATAAGATCACCTGCGTATGCAAGTGTTCAACATGCGTTCGAAAACGATGTCGTGACTCGTTGATTACGATTTTCTGGCAAACGGTTAGTTATATGAAAAAAGTGCAGGAGACCGAATTCTCAAGTTTTTTATGGCCCACGAGATCATGTTACCCAAAGTCAGAGTTTCTACTTTTAAACATAAAATTTTGGTCGAGAAAAGTGTGGACTCCCCTCCAACTCCCCCAAAACTGGATTTACATCCTTTGTGGAGTAAGAAAGAAATTAAGTGTCTAAAAAGACAGGGGCATGCCAATTTTCAGAAGATTGGGTTCTTTATTCAAGTCACAATTTTAGATAATCTTATTGTTTGCCTAACTTACAGTAGATGTAGCTCGGAGGGGTTTTTTTAGAACACATGTTGATTTGAAAAAAAGTCTCATTTTGATCCCAACAATATGTCCTTGAAATATTCACATCAAATTTTGAATCACCCTGTATATCTAAATCTAAGATAGACACTATTTCACCTATAATCAGTCAAACCTACTGTTCCACTTATTCACACATTTCATGAAGAATTCTGACAGAATCATTATCACATATTGAGAAATATAAAAAGTACTTTGTGGTATTGTTTACAAATCTACATAGAAACACATTTTTCAGTTGCGCTTTCCACATATCAGGGGTGCTCTGAAAATATTGACTGAACATTCATCATACACCATAAACCAATTGGAATTTATCTCAACTTCCTAACGACTTATTGCACTTTAAAAGCCTGATATTCCATTTTCGGAAATAATTATATGTTCACCTAGTACTACTGTTCATATTCAGCACTTTTCTTCTTTTGATTGTCGAATGGAATAAAAATAGTTTTCTGAAATTGTGTCTCGAGCAGTCTCCAACAATTTGAACAAATGTGTTTGATATGTTAGGTACCTACGTCATTCCTGCCAATGAAGCTTATTTCAAAGCTTATTTTTTTACAATATGCTACTGTTGGCATACAATATGACTATCATATAAATAATATCTTTTCAGAATGCTTACTCATCAGACTGATGCTGTGTGTGATTATTCCGTTCCTGTTTCAAAAAGGACAGGAATGACAGTGGTTTGTAGTAAATCCAATTTCGGTGGCGTTCCTTGCTTTTATAATGTCCTCTCATGTAATGATCTCTGATATGCCTCCATTTCTTTCTGCATTCATGAACTAAAAACCGAAAAAAACATGTTCATCAATTAGAATTCCGACATATTAGGTTACAAAAAAAAATAGTCAAACACTAAGTATAGGAAACTCTGAATTTTCGATACTTCGAGTTGAAACTTGGCATTGACCTTCACTATAAAAACGTTAGACAGCGATAATATCGCTAGAAATATCATATATTTCGTGCTGGAGCTGCTCCCCAATTGAAAGACTTAAAGACTATCATTTTTGCAACATAACGACTTTTTGTTCACAATTTCAATGTCGATATTAATATGATGAAGCTTAAGAGCTAGATCTCATTGCCAATGAATCTAGAATTAATAGAGTTGCCTCAATTGTCTGATCAACAGTGAGACAATACTGTTACCAGGCAACATCAGCTTCATGATAAATGCAGCGTCGTATGCACACCATATACGTATTAATAAACAATACGGATCATAACGGGTGCCAGGATGAAGCCAAAAATATGAAACAAATGAATATCCATAAGGATTTGGTGGCATGATACGCATGCGCCATGCGCTATTATAGTAGTCATCAAAGACATGCGTTTCGGTGGACATTGACGTTTTTTTTTTTTATCAATCAAAGCAGTATGTGTCTGATCGTTTCAAAACTTTTTCTTATGGATAGTCATTTGTCTTCAAAAATTGGCTTCATGTTTCGCTATGGAAACAGATAGAGATTATCCGTATTGATTATTAATACGTATATGATGCACACTTAGTGTCAAAATGAGATATCATATTGTCAAGATGTAACGATATTATTTTCGAAAAAAATCCAATCAACTTTTCCTTTTTGGCTGGATCTATACTTACTATGACAGAGATACAGAATAGGTGTATTTATCGCGGTAACGCTCATTCGACTTGAAAACATGGTAGTTGTTATAAAAATACAAAATGTTGTTTGAATCCACTTTGCATTCATTTTCGTTTCAAGATAATCATCACTTAAATAATATCTACCACTTAATGAGCTGTCACGTAACAGCTAGAGTACATTTTAATTAATTCACATCACCTCATAATTTATTCACATTTTCGAGTTCCCATTATCGCATTTTCTCATTTGCGCTTTCTGAGTCTCATAATAGTATAACCAGAGATAACGTTCAAATGATTATATTTTTTTTACTATACTGTACTCCAATGCGCCGATTTCAATTTCAATCTACACGCTTCGTACTCCACGTTCCGTTCCGTGTTTATTTCAAATCACACGTATTCACATGTACGATGTATTCACTCGCCTACTCCAATAAAACTCCTAATAATAAGAATCCAGTATTATTAACCTTAGATCATTTCATCATGCAGTATACTGGGATGTAGATATAATCAAGGTTGTTGAAGCTGATGATTATTCGCATATAGAGAATTGTTTCGATCAAAGAGCACGGTGACGGGAAGTGATCATTCATGTCTTTCCATCGAACATTTTATATCGTATTTATGGGAATCTGTATTCTATCTACAACTATCGTCAAGTAGACTTATCAATCCATTTGTGATATCTCGAAAATTTGTATACGAATACGTCACAAATTAAAACTGTCCCTCAATGTCAACCGAGGGGTAAACCGCGTTGGAATTCTGGTGTTCAAACAACTGGAATTCCCTGGAAATCATTGGAATTCCTTGGATTTCCTTGAAATTCCTTGGATTTCCTTGGAATTCCCTGGAATTCCTTGGAGTTTCTTGGAATTCATTGTGTAAAGTAAAATTCTGGAGTAGAAACTGAAGCTTCTTGGAATACTTGTGAAATTGAGGTATCGTGTACACAATTTTGACCGCGGTTTACCCCTCGCTGTCAACCTTTGTTAAATTGTATTTTCGAGGGCTGAGTTGCAGTTGTGAGGTCTGAGGCGATTGTTGGTGTTGGTACCTTGTTGGTACTATTGGCAGTGCGGTGTTATCCGAGGAATTCAAGTAACATTTTTAATATTCGGTAGTATTTGGTAATATCTGGTGATATTTGGTAATAATCGGTAATATTTGGTAATATGTGGTCTTATTTTGTGATATTTGGTAATATTTGGTAATATCCCCTAAATATTACTGATATTACCTGATTTGGTCATATGGTGTACAAAATTTAGGCAAGTGAGCCACCCCTCGATATCATATTACCTAGCATATTACGGTCATATCATATCCAGATACGCCAGAGACTAGTTTAATTTTATTCTCAAAAACGTCAAATAGGGAGTAATTGGTGTGCTCCAAAACTAAAATTCCATTAGTTCTGCTTCCATGACGTCATTGTGAGTCAATGTTACTGCTTTTTTACCTAATGAAATTTTCAAAGACCAAATTGAAAACGCCTTCACGACTAAACGGACAGTAAACTGAAGTATTTCACTAAACAACGATGAGTATTGGTGGTTGTTTGCTGTCCTTATAATATATTTCTCTAACACTATTCAAGGAATTGAACGTTCCACGAATTGTATCGGAACTAACGTGATTCTGATCGTGTGTATCAGAATGAATAATTTCAACACTGCTGCCGACCGGTAAGAAACTGATTCAGTACTTGTCCGCATACTCGCCGCTGTTGCTACACGGGTTCTCGAGATCTCATCGAACACCTTGGATTCGTTTAAACCACGTTTAAACCCTAACTGCTCAGAAAGTGCGAGCTGCGCTGGCACTGGCGACTGGCAGTTGTTTAAACTCGTAACGCCTATGCCTATCTCCATCTTCTCTCTACTTACAACACGCCTCACGCCTACATGATCTAAGGTACCAAGTATTACTTTTTCCTGCACCGTGCCGTACTTATTTACCTATACTTTCACATTTTTTGAATGGTTGTGTTTGTGCATCATCCATTTCATTTTTGCATTAGGTATCTACCTGGTTTTCTCATGATTCCAGAAATCTCCTCCCATGATTGTTCCCGCACTGCATTTGTTTTGTAGTTCGGATGTTGTGGATTATATAAATGTTCGCACTGCTTGACAGCTTCGATGAATGTCAGGTATTCTTCCTTGGTGAATTTGTCTGCCATCGCTGCCAGCTTGACCAATAACATTAATAGAAAATAGGTAGTTTTCAATAACAATTAGCAATCAATCTTCAGTTCACTCAGTACGGCTTTCTAGCTGTTTCATGTTCCTGTATCTACCCGTACCACTACCCGTACGCGGGTTTTCAACTGACTACGTACTAGTACGTCAACACGTCACGTTACCAACACAACGCAAACAAAAGCAAACTCGGTGAACCAAGCGCAGGCACAGAATCGGTGTAGACAGTTTGTGTACTGTGAAAGGTAACTCGGATGAAATCGAAAACTGGGTTTTCCGATGGGTATTGGCATCCGCATTTTTGATGCATGTTGATCCATGTTGCAAAAAAAATAGAAAAATCCAATACATTATACAGAGTTATTTATGAAATCATGAGAATAATCGAATTTCATCAAGGGTACCTGTTTTATACTTAGTATGGTAAGCAATAAAACCCGTTTCTTGCCATAGGCGTAGAAGTTTCAGATGTTTATTTACTGAAAAAATCAAGTTCTGCGCCATGGAATGATATTCATCATGATATGGGTTTTATTTTTGATTTCCCAACTAGCCAATTATTGTATCCATATCACAAATACAATTACCTAATCAATAAGTATGGAATCAACGTTAACATGGCAACTCAGTCAATTTTTCGAAATAGGAATTAATAGGCCAGTAGCCAAATTAACTGTCAATCAGTTGGAATCAGCTACCTGCAACAGCAGAAGACAACAAATCCAAATATATCCATAACTAACTGTTCTGATTGTATTATAAATATTAAGTTATAACTCGTTATTTATGTTAATTGATTCGTTTTATTATTGTTAATAAAGTTTTGGGTTTGATCATATAATTTTGCATTACAGAAATATAAAGAAAACTTTAATATTCAAATGAGCACTCCTGTATAATTCAGATCTATTTTCCCAATCATTTTGCATTAATTGAAACCATTGGAATCTAGATTCCTATCGATATGACAGTGAGATTGGCTTTATCACCAGCTCAATGACTTTATCGCCCGCCGGGCGGTGAAGTAGTTTAGGTGAAAATATCCATTGACATGAAACAATTTGAAACGGTGCACTGGTGAACTTTTTTTTTCACTTTTCAGTTTAAAATAACCATTGAAAAAGAATATTCTCAGATATATTTATGAGCACAAAAAAATGAATATATATACAGGATGTTCCTTATTGATGTGCTAATATTCAAGGGGCCAATTCTTCGACCCATTTCAAGAATAAAACTTCATATGAACGTATGTCGTAAACGTCCTCACTTTTGAGAAACAGGGTGTCAATGTTGACAATATGCATAGATTATTTTTTTGTCCACCCTGTTTTTCGTGTAAGCAAAATTCAGTCTGCTATGTGACTGAATCGATATACAAATTTAAAAATGTCACATACTGTGGTTATCCAGTAATGGATGTCCTGAATGGAGTACCTACTCAGAAATCAAAATTTGAAGTCTGGTCTCGTTCCTCCGTTTTTCCTCGAAACTCACTTCTGAGTGAAATATAAACAATAATATACCCGTGCCGGTGCCACTGGTAGAGAAAATGAAAATTTGGGTACATCAGAAAATGCACCTTGATGCATTAAAAGACGTGTACCAAATTTCATGAAGATGTTTACAATATTATTATCTCAGTTGTTATCAAAAAACTGAATATTTTTCAAAACTTCATCACCCTGTATCTCAAAAGTTAAGACTTTCAGGACATACGTTTATATGATCAGGGAACACCCTGTATAAAGAAATACATTGAGAATTCGCATTTTCCATGTGATGAAAATCCTTCTCGGTTTATTCAACAGAAAACAACTACTTTCTTGGCTATATGCCACGACGAATATTGAATTACATCTATTGAACACACACGATAAGAATTTGAAAACAAAATCTTCTGAAGTAGAGAATTTGCATTCTCCTTCATATAAAGATATGCATATAATATCATTATGAATATTCAACAGAAAACAATTACTTTCCTGGCTATTTGCCACGTCGAACATTGAATTATATCTGTTGAATATCCATAAAGAGAGCATGGAAGATCAAAATCCTCTGAAAATTGAGAATTGACATTATACATATCTCTCAAATCGAATAGAAATAATATGATGTATTATGATATAATAGTTATTTATGTAATAAGGATCATAAAGACGATCATTATGGTACAAGTCGTGAATGTTATCGGGCGAGGCGTAGCCGAGTCCGATAACACGGCGTGTGCCATAATGATTGTTTATGATTCGTATTACATACAAAATTTTATCTGATTGCATTTATATCAATACATTTTCGAAAAATTAAAAACTGCATTTTCGACATGTCACAATGACAACTATTTTTAAAGGAGTAAGTATTGTGTAGTTTCAAATATTAGTAGGTGAGTGAGCTGTGCTTTGCCATTATATTAATATTACAAATTGTAGTAATTGTTCTTTTACCATTTATAATAAATAGTTTTGTACATAGTTATGCATTTTGAATAAACTTTTTTGCTCAAAACATTACATGTTTTCCTTATAGAATTTCATTATGGTACTTAGTACCATAATGAGCTTCCTTATGTCATCAAAATTGAGTGACATAACGTTGTCATTATGACATGCCATCAGATAAAAATATTATTTACCAAAAATAAAATAACTAGTCTATCAATATTTGATACTGATTGATCAGAAATAAGTGAAATGGATAATATTTTTTCTTCCAAATTTCGAAAAAACATTGATGATGGCTAAATCATCAAGATCGAAACACAATCAACCTTTTTTCTATTGGTTGTATTCTGGATTCAAAAAGACCGTAATTAGACAAAGATTTTCCAAAAAATTCATTTTTTTTTATACGACTGAAATAATTTTGAAATGTTTCGAAGGTTGCTGGAATGACCCTCTGAACAGGGGCGGCGAGTGCATGGGGGCATCGGGGCCAATGCACCCATGTAGACCATAGGTATGGGTGCAATGCACCCATTGGCCGAAACGAAGATGTACCTTTGTTTATGTTGATATTAACAACAGACCCGAAACCCGATTAGTCAAAAAACATTATATTCTAGTAGGGGTGTTTCACACGTAATGCAGAATCAATATTGCATCAAGCTATCTTCAAATTTGAAGGCATTTGACCTTGGGCAATAAAAAATTTTCGCCTGCGGCGCATTTTTTCTTGGCTTGCCCTAACCCCTCCATTTTGGCACCCATTGGGCAAAACAAAACTCGCCGCCCCTGCCTCTGAATATGCAACTTTTTCATACTTAATTGTACAATTTCTGACTTTCTGAGATCCCCATATTGTACAAGCCCACCTTGTACAACCCCCCCATCTATGGTCATACATATCTATCTATTATCATTGAGTATTAATTCACACTATATGATCAAGGTTATTATCAATAAACTTGTTTTTCAATAAGATGTACTTGAATTTTATACAAATTCTGAGGTGAGATGACATATATTATGGTAGGTACTTCATCCGATGCAGAATACATTCCATTTGAAAATATGAAGTTGTCAAGTTGATTGTCGTAAATAATTTGTGGACCACCCTGTTTACTTGAATATCCAAGTCTGAGCGTTTGTATGGGAAATAAAAAGTTTATGTTCAAGGTAACAACTTTAATAGGTTCAGTGTTTTGTTGGTTGTATAACGGTGAGAGCGACTGGAAATTGAAAGCGCATTGCCATGATTCAATGAAAGTTTTCTTTTTACTCACCAATAACATCGAATTCAGTCGATTCAAGAATCATGTTTACCTATACATAATATAAGATTTTTCAAATTATCAAATCGGGCGAAATGATGATTCCGACAAAACAAAAATACTTATATTATTAGGTATGCCTTTTTGAGGTAAACATTATGTAGTTCAAAGTGTCGACCACGTAAAAAATTACCAACGAATTTTGAGCTCCGCATGGCGAAATTTGTTGTGTCATCAGACAAATCAAATAGATTTCCATAAGATAATTTTTGAACACTGCTTCCCATTGGTGAACATAGAAACTTGGATACTGTTTCACAGCACAACTTTCATATAAGCCTCTTTAGCTCAGTGGTAGAGCACTGGTCTCGTAAACCAGGGGTCGTGAGTTCAAACCTCACAGGAGGCAGGAACTTTTTTTTTATTCAGCGCCCTTTTTTACTATCTGAATGAAACCTAGAATCAATGATGATGGTGATGATAATAATATAGGTAATGATAAAAACGTCAGAATAATATGGCATAGGTGAAGAATACTTATTTTATATTTTGATGTGATTACATAATTTTTGTTGTTGATGCTCAATTTCATTATATTTTATTATGTACATAATTACGTATACCGTGTGTCCCAGCGAAAACTTGTGATCCCTTTCATATTCGAAGTCGTAGGGAAATATGAAATTTTACTTCCAGCGAAATCAAAAATAATTTATAACAAATTGCTCAGGCAATTAATTCATGGACTATGGAGAATTACAAAGGATATTCAATCTTTTTCAAAAACCTTTCGGCTGTAAGTTTATTTTGAGGTCGTGTTTTTATATTGTTATTTATTGGCTGTCGAAAATATTGTGTTTGCTTCGGTCATGTTTTTTATATCTCTTGGAGCGCACGAAAGGAAATTCCTATAATGTTCGTGGAACATCGCGCGTACCTATTAATAAATGATAGTTGCATTCAATGAGATAAGATAAGATTTATTCATCCATCAAGTTACAAAATCAATTTCATTTGTGGAAAGTCCAGGCGGGAAAAAAGTTTGCCATATTATATTATCTCTGTTGGCAGATTATGAAATGACAAATAATTTTTGGGAAAATTTGGTAGCCTATTATTAGGAAAAAGCACTATTTTTGTTACGCAGCAGACTTTTGAAGTCGATTTATCTCGAGAATGGTGACTGCTATTGAATCTGAACAAGAGTATCATTTTTAAGTAAAAATGATGATATTTTCATAATTCCTGGCCAAACTGCCTGAAATTGCATAGAAAAAAAATTGGGGAAGACATGCCCGTAGTTCCACATACTTTCCACGCACCTGATCAAAATTCCGGAAAATTGTTAACATTTCCAAATCGGGCATGAAAAGTAATATACATGTACAAGATTTCGATATCCTAACACAGTGTGTTCCTCAAAAATCTCTGCTATCAT